GACTGCCCTGCTTCTTTCTTTGGTCGTTCCTCCCCGCTTGCCTCGAGGTTGCGTCATGCTTTTCAATTTCAGTTCCAGATATATGTCGCTGAAATTCAGATTTCGGTTTTCATTTCGACCGAAGGACCGAAATTCTCGCGACATCTTCTTACTACCTCCGTCCGAGTTTAAAAGGCCGCCAGACCAAAACGCTAGCAGCTTCCCTTCCAAATGGTTGGTGATGACATTCAAGACTTGCAATGCCGTCATGTTGCCGATCTCTGCTGGGATTGCCAAGGTGAGCCGGTTAAGGAAGAGCAGAGCACTACGCCCCTGAGATGCCTGAGCTCCACCAAAACGAGATGGGTATTGGCCCCGTCAGCCAGTTCACAGACAAGTCTAACTGATTCAGGTTTACCAACTCACCAAGCTCTACTGGGATAGAGCCAGTGAGATTGTTGCTGTAGAGATACAAGACTTGTAGATGGGTTGCCTTGCCGAGCTCCGGAGGAATCCTCCAAGTAAATGAGTTTCCCTGTGCTTGGAATGATATGAGCTTCAAACGGCTCATGAACAACGATGATGGAATTTGGCCAGTGAGTTTGTTTGTCGAAATGCCAAACTCTTGCATTTTGCGAATCCCAGCCAAAGTTTGGTGGCAGGACACCGCTGAGTTGGTTCATGGACAGCCAGGGCTGGCCTAGGCCATGGCAAAAGCTGCAGTGGCTTAGGGGTCCAACTTAAATAAGGGCCCAATATATCTACAAACTTCAATAAATTACAAAACAATTGATTGCAGAACATAAAATAAACATTGTTGTGGGGTGGACAGGGGGCAAATCCCCCCTCCCCCCTTCACACATACACACGCTTCAACACGTTGTACTTATTCAATAGTTATTTATAGTTAAATACATATATCTCATAATTATTATTTGCATCATATAATCACACATAGATGGTGTATTGAGACTTCATTTGCTAACTATTTATGTTTATGCCTTTATAGTTTTCATGATACATATACAATTTATATTGTTGAATGTATATATGTTACGCTGTTAAGGTTCATTGTGCCTCAATCACACTAGGGCGTTCATACTGCTAGGACCGGCCCTGTGGATAGATCGACGAAATTGAGATTGCCAAGGTTACCCAGTTGTGATGGAATAGTGGAAACCAGCTGAGTCCTCTTAAGGTCATGGCATGGGCATCGGCGAGAACTCGCGATAGTCCTTCAGATTGGTGAGGATGTTGGAGCTCAGATCGAAATGGACAATCCTTGGAAGCCTGCTGAGCTAGTATGGGATGTCACCGACGAAGTTCATCGAGCCACGGTGGAATGGAGCCATTGAAGACGTTGCTGCTGAGGTTAGAAGCAAGATCGTGTTAATTATGTGGCAGGCGTGGAACCTGAGAAACACCGTTGTAGTTCAGGGTGGACACGGTCCGGGCCGGTCCGGTCCCTGACCGAGCCTCGCTTTTGACCGACCGTGGTTGGCCCGGCCCGGACCGGACCGAGGTTGCCTGCGGTCCTGTTTCTCTGGACCGGACCGGCAGCACCTAGGCTCGGTGAGGACCGACGGGACCGAATGGACCGGCTACTGTTCGTGCCTGGGAGTGAGATGGGATGTTTTTAGAACTCTTTGACAGTAAATTTGACCCTACAAATCATTAGGTTGCAAAAGAAGTTCAAATGGACAAAAAATAAGCAAGTTTGCAAACTCCCAAATTTTCAACTGAAGAAAGATGCCAACTGAAGAAAATTCAGAGGAAGTGCAGAATTAAACAACTGACGGTGTCGGTGTGCAGGTGCAGGTTGCAGCCATTACATTCCCCATGTCCTCCAGCTTCGTGGTCGACGGCGGCGAGCCAGCGGGAGGAGGTGGTCGACGATGGGCAGGTGGAGATGGACACGGTCGATGTCTCGATGTCGGCGGGCAGGAGCAGTCATTCCGGCTCCTTCACTCATCATCCCCCCGCGTGCAGGTGCATAGGAGGAGGTGGTCGTCGATGAGACGATGACAACACGAGGAGCTGCAGGTGGTCGACGATGGCAACGGCTGCCGGCGGCGGTGGCGCTCCCTGTTTGAAGGAAAGTAGGTCGGGGAACGTGGGGTGGGCCTTTGCCCTAGCGTAGCGACTCGCTGTCTAAGAATACACTGCTGGGCTGCGCCCCTGGGCCAAGTATCTCGGTCCACCGAGCTGGCTCGGTCAAAAACAGGACCGGACCGACTTATTTTTGGGCCTGTTTCTGCAGACCGGACCGGTCATTTTCATCAGCAGGCCAGGACCGTTCGGTCCGGTCCGTCGCGGGCCGCGAGCCGGGCCAAAAGCCCGCTCGCCACGTCCAGGCTGAGTTGTAGTAGATGGTGATGGGCAAGACATAGTCTCAGGAACATTGCAGTACCTTATTAGAGCATGGTTAATAATAGAGCCGATTGATAGTTGTAAACTATTGCCATGTCATCTATAATCAATGTAAGACTAGTCACAATGGAAGTAACTTAACTAGTAACATCACACATTTCAATACAAGATTACTTATGTGGCAGCTAATTAATGAGGAGAGAGGGGTTTGTGATAACTTAGCTAGTTACTATAACATCACACATTTCAAGGCATAATGAGTCTATAGTCTAATAAATGCACTCTTTCATGATACCACTCATATGTTACTACCCACTATGGAGGTAGTAATATAGACTAGTAACATCGGCAAGTTACTACTCTGTTACTCCCCACTGTGAGCAGTCTAATAATTAACATGTATAGTAGTCAAAAATTCATTTCTGAGCACGAGCTCAGATGCTCCTGATATCTACACCACAAACTCATCTCTAAATCTGTGTCAGTAAATGTATTTCCTGACCGTATATTACATTTTATAGCCAGGTGCAGGGGCACGGAACAGGTAGCCGTTCGACGGCTCAGTCCCTTGTCTGAGCCCTTCCCGTCGCCCCCATTCACTAACGGCCACTAGACCAGCTCCTCATAAATGCATCTCTCAGCCTCGCCCCACACCGATCTAGCTGTAAGCCTGTTTATCATAGTACTACCAGTGGACCTGTATGTTTGTGTAAGGATCTAGCTGTTGTTAACGAAGCTTGTTTCCCACACTAAATAAATTTTATCTGATTTTCAACTTGGACGTCGGAGAAACATATCTTTTTTTCAGTAACCACCTTATGTCTCTCGGATATCAATGATTCTATCCCTCAACTGATATTGTGTAACTGCGGGATTACATCATTAAGCAGTCAAGCTTCCGAAATAGTGCAAAAAGATGGTTTTAAAAGAACAGTGCCAAAAGACAAAATCAAGATATAGTCAACAATATGATCCTTTGGGAAATATGACAGGGCGATGATTACTAAGCTTTAATTAACCATGTTTTCACACAATTTTCGTTACCTAAGATCCATCAAATGCACCTAATACATTGGCAGGTATTAAATATGTACTCCATGGTAAACAGTAACACAACAAAATCATGTCCACTCAACAATATCATAACACATGGGAATGGAGTCTTGCTGAGCCTATGCGGAGCAGCAGCTGCTGTTCTGCTGCTGTATGGGCTGCCCTTTCATGTGAACATGGACAGTAGATTTCCTCTCCGTGGCAGATTGGCTCGTCATTCTGCAGGCATGTAAAAATTTCAGTAGCAAGTAAATCCTTCACTCGAACAGAAGGCAAGACTAGCAGTCCACATGGAAAGCATGCCCACCAGATTTTTAGAAGGCAGCAGAAGTAGTCATAAGAGGAGATAACTGCATGATCTGTCCTTAGCCATCAGAAAAACTAAAGCCAATACCTAAATAAACTGTTTGTGTCAATTATGAACTCTGCAGAATTAATGTAATGAAAGGCTCCATGGGAAGTTTTTGAGAAATTGTTCGTCATTGCTCTTGCTTGCAGTTTTTCTTCCGAAAAGCAAGAAATTATTGCTCTCTCGGCTTCTCTTGATCATGCACACAACCCAATAAAAAGATGAGCATATCATATTTTTTAAACCAGTAATGCAAACATATTGGACGGAATTCCCAAAGCCTTTCTTTTTCACAAGAATACAGGTCATTCGATGAGATCTAACATTTCAGAGAAACTGGGAAGAAAAAAGGCCTCTAAAAGTGTGTAGCTCCTGGTTATCTTTTCTTCATTTCTGATGACATATTTATGAAAGTTCTCTCCACATTGATGGATTCCGTAGCATAACTCTCAAGAAAATTCATTCCTAATGATTCCGCAAATGCCTGAAACTAATCATTGATATTTTAGTCACTTCATTATATATTTGAATAGAAAAGCTCAGAATCACATTACGAAGAAGAGTATCAAGAACAAAGAGGCAAGCCAACCTTTCAAGCATGAAACAAGTTGAGAGTGTTTTTTTTGGTGTGTGCCAATTAGCAATACGTTGTTCTGTCCATTCAAGTATAACAGGTAAGCTCAAACTAAAATGGCGGTTAGATGTTAGCCAGTACAGAAATCACATTATTTTCTAAATGTAGATAACAGCGAGCCGTGAAAATGATAAGTTCAGGTCAATGGCTAAAGTGAAACTGTGAACCAATTCAAGCGATCCTAGAGTACTATATTACTACATCTGAGTAAAACAGTTCCAAAAAGACGGCGTTGAGTGTCACAAGATAATACGGGTGTCCATGAGGGCTTACAATGATTCCATGCAGTCCCCGGTAGTAAGTAGTAACTGCTTGTTATTGTCTTGAACCTTTCAAGACCCGCATGTCCCACTGAGAAAGGAACAGATCATCGCTACAACAACCGGAGGAGTGCATGAACACAGGTAGAATTTGTAAGGCAATGCTGACCTAGCCTCCAATTGTTCATTCGTTCAGAATTATGACTGCTCGCCAAGCATGTATAGTCTAAGTTGTACAGTAACCAGAAGTACTTGGGGAGTACATTGGCCCAATCCCTGCATATTTTCCAACAAACAAAATGTCAAGACTACCACACACACAGATACCACAGGACGGCCATGCCTCACCATTTTCTCAAATATAACTATGTAAGCAGAGTTCAGTAGGCACCGAGCAACCGCAGACTATCTCCTCCATGCATTTTGTCCTCTCAGCGTTGAGCCTGATCTTATCATATCTAATTCCGAACCCGATCTCCCAAGTGTACAAATTGTAGAAATCATATGCCTCGCCCGAGCAAGTGCAGGTCGCACTACACTCTTTGTCGGTTCCTCTGCATAATTGTGAGCACTCATCCCAGGGACAAGGTGTCTGGTCTGGTGGTGCACTACCGAGCTGTAACCTGAATTTTCCAAATGTACAAATTCAGTCCAGTAGTTTTAGTTCAGCAATACCAACATGCAAGGACTGTGGTCTGCCAGTTAAAAGAAGATAATACTTAGGAGCAGCTACCATGCTTCAGCTAACCAGATCATATAGTGATTTTGTGAATGGTTTCAAAACTAAAATGAAGTGTGTCAAGCATATTTGTAATTTGAAGAAACGTACAGACGGTGGGAATAAATACAGTTCAACAGCAGGAGGATTTGGGTTCTGACCTTTTTGTCCAACCAGAGGCCTCGGGGTCAGTTGACTGCCCCGACCGAGTCAGAGAAGCATCAGGACGCCGGCGCACTTCCCGTCCTGTTGCCCGCAACCAGACCCGGCATTTGAGTCCGCAGGGACGGCGCGGCTGGCTTCGCTTCTCAGGAACAAGGCCAGAGGAACCGGATATGGGTGTTCAAGATAGTCCTCGAACTCCTCCCCTGAAACAAGACGGCGATGGCCTACGGACATGCCTGCCGTCAGATTTCTTCCACCGGTATGGCAGCTTACCGACAAATCCGCAAAACTTATAGATCTTCAGAACTAACCTGTGGACGACATCGAGCAGGAAATCGAGGCCAGCCTCTTCCATCACGTGGCCGCCGGTGCAGATCGAGCGCCGCCGGTTTTGGGGGAAGAGAGGGGGGCGACGAGGGTTTCCTCTGTTCTGATCCGTGGCTCGGTTGAGATGAGAACGTTCTGGTCCACGGACCAGAACGCACACGCGCGTCCTCCGTTCCCCCGATACGATCTGGGCCCACGAAAGATGCACTGTTTCCTAACGTATTACCGCATACACTCCTTTTTCTATATTCCGTGTCAGACGCGACAAGCTGTTTTGTTCGCATCCCGAGCGAGGAATGCACGCCGGCGATTTTGGGAGCAGCTGAGCTCGGGCACCGAATCGCCGTGTCCGTATAGTAGTGGGCTACAAAGTACTACTTTTTTGCCATATGGTTCACCATACACTCCCATATCACTTCTTGGAGTCCGTGCTATAGCCAGCTGTAAATCAATAGCCCGCTTCTCTTCTATCTACTCTTCTCTTTCAACCAACTCAGCAAAAATATAATATTAAAGTCTTATAACCTGCCTACGTCATCTTTAATTATACTTGCTCTTAGGCTGCATGCTGAGCTGCTGGCTACTGCATGGGATCCTATGGAGGATTCGGACAAAGGTAATCTATCACTGTCCCCAGTCAGTCTGACAGTGGCATCTCCTCCGATGCCTAATCATTGGGCTGCTCCCCCGTTAGGAAAGGCCAAATTAAATACTGATGAGGCGTTTCTAGGGGAAACAAGTGACACATGGGGAGGCGCTATGGCTAGGGGCCACATGGGCCGTGTTTTCGTGTCCATTGGACGGCGCTTGGCCCGATATAGATCAGTGGAACAATCGGAAGGTGTGAGAGCAACTAGTTAACGAGCGCTCCTTCAGAAGCCTCGCAACGATCAGTGCCATTTGGCGCTCTCAGCCATTCGCCACGTGTCGCGCTCTGGACGCTACCGCCGAATTTTTATTTTTTTATTTTTTCACACGCGTTTTCGGCTTTTTAAACGGTTTTTTCCTGGTTTTTTTTTACCGTTTTGGTCTTTCCCCGGTCTTCCTTAGCTTTTCGATCAAAAAAAATTGAAGCATGGTTGTGCTTTAGCGAGAGTCACGGCCTTGCCTTTCGGAAACGGAAAAAAATGCGTTTTCTGTTTTTTTTCTTTTGCGAGAGTCACGGCCGTGCCTCTCGGAAAGGGAAAATTAAAATGCATTTTTTTATTTTTATTTCTTTCACGAGAGTCACGGTTTTGCTTTCGCGAGAGGTACGGTTGTGCTTTCACGAGAGTCACGGCCGTGCCTCTCGGAAAGGGAAAAAATACGCGTTTTCTGTTTTTTTTTTCACGAGAGAGTCACGGGCGTGCCTCTCGGTAACGAAAAAAAATACATTTTTTGTTTTTTTTCTTCCACGAGAGTCACGGTTTTGCTCCAACGTGAGACACGGTTGTGTTCGCGACAGGCACGGGCGTGCCTCTTTCGGAAAGGGAAAAAACAGTGCTTCTGGTTCCGTTTTTTTACCGGGTTTTTTCGTGAAAAAAAAGTTCGTCAAAACCTATCAACATGGGATCTAGTTTTGAAGATCTCGACGCGAGGAATCCAATGGTGAAAACAGTTTGAGATTTGAATGCACGGTTTAAGAGATAAAAACGTTTTGAATAAATGAATCTAGAAAAAAGAGAAAACTCACATATTGCAACAAGTGACGCGCTGCAATATCACCTGTCCATTGAAAAGCTTTGCAAATTCTGTCAGCCCAGGAGAGTTGCAGCACCTTCTCGAAATCACTAATTAAGAAGTACTTATTACAAAGAACACTTCACTTTCCCAGGTTACGACAAGTGGCCCACTGTCGCGACAAGTGATATTTTTTAGCAAATGATGAAGTGTTCTTTACAATAAGTATTTCTTAATTAGTGATTTCAGGAAGGTGCTGCAACTCTCCTGGGCTGACAGAATTTGCAAAGCTTTTCAATGGACAGGTGATATTGCAGAGTGTTGGCTGTGCATTGCAGGCCGGCATGATCAGTAGGTCAGCTTGCCACACAACCCTAGCAGACGTGAGGAATCAGCTTTTTACTTTCTCTTGCTCGGAAATCAGCTTTCTACTTTCTCCCGCCCATGAGCTCGCCGCCATTGCGAGAAGATCCGGCGATTTCGGAATGATTGCTGACGTCCCAGCTGACGCGAAAGCGAAACACGAGAGATGAGAGTGTCTCCACCATGGTCCTCATAAGAAAAGAAAGAAAAGGACCTTGAATTGGATGAAGCCCTATGGGCCTTTTATGAGCGTTGGTGCAAGGCTCATAACAAGGAAAATGACCATGCCGAGATGGCTCACCGGTTCAAATTATTCAGACGTTGGGCAAAGTTGCTGCACCAATGGAACACCTGCCTTCCTCCAGATCCAGAGGAAGCAGCCACTTGCATTCAGAAAAGAGAAGACGTCTAATTACTGGACCTGTCTACCTGGCGCCCGAGCGCCCGTTCGGGCCAGCGAGCGCCCTCCCCGAAAGGAAAGTCGTACCGCGCGCCGTGTTAGGACAGCCCAGAAAAGGAAAAACCTTCCGCGCGCCAGCTCTCACTTGCATTTATTAGGGATCAAAAACTTTAAAAATTTGTAACTTTTGATTAGAATGTCAAAATTCAAATGCGTTTTCACCGGTGGGTTTCTCGCGACGAGTTCTTCGAAACTAGATCCTGTATGAGTAGGTTTCGATGAACTTTTTTTTAGCAACTCTGTGTGCTACAGAGGCAACTTTAGTGCTATACAAAAGCAACTCCTTTTTCCCAGTATGACTACCTATCAATGGAGGACCTTATAAGTCGGTTACCATGACTATCAATTGAGTAGTTTCACCTCTAAATTGCCTAATATAAAGACAACTCCAAGATGGATCACCAAAACGCCCCAAATATCAGGATCGGCCTCTCTAGACACTTTTAGCCATCCAATGAGTCCAACTACTATCAGACATGTAAAAAAGGTTTGCTTCCCCATATGAGTTCGTTGCAGTAAAAAATAGCATGCATTCTCTATGCAAAAGTAAAAAATCATGCATCAATTTTGCTATGATTTCAGACAACTCTCGTAAAATTTGAAGCAACTAGTGTCATGCATTAAGAGAGGGGTTGCTGCCCCATAAGCTCCTTGCAGTAATATCAGGCAACCCTTGTGCAAAAAAAAATCACAAAAACAACAAGTAGAGACAACATATATAGGTGGCACTAATGTATATATATTATTTAACATAGGCAACTGTAGTGTGATTCATGGGAACTATTTAAAAAACAAAAATGTGTTCCAGGCATTTTTATGCATTTGTTGATGTGAACTG